CTTCAAAAAGGACATTCTTCAAACAAAACTAATTCATTAGAATCATCAAGTCTTCAAAATTCAAAGATTCCTACATCCTCTTTTAAGGATTCGTTGACTGACGAAGAATCTGTTTCACAACAAAGGCAGGGAATTGCATTAAATCAGTTAAACGTTAATTCCCACGACGCCGAACTACTTAAGGGTTATTCATTGGGCATTTTTTCACCAGATAATTCCATAAGACAATGGTTTTTTGATGTGCTGAATAAGCCGTACGCACACTTTTTCCTTGAATGCTTGACTATTGGTCGTTTCTTAATTGTCACTTAACAACGATGCTTTTATATATGACGTTTAGATGGACAGAACCCGTGATATTGTGCCTTATTGTAGTCAATATCATACTTTTAGTCGCTGATGCATGGGTTCCTTTCGTAGACAGTCCGAATGCTCCCGTCACGCCGCAAAACATTTGGGGAAGTTCATCAACTGACTATGGATTATTGGTCGTGTTCATCATATTCACGTAATTGCTTGGCGATATTTTAGTCCAATTTATTATTATTATATTTAAAATAAGAAAAAAGGCTTACTAAATCTTTCTTCTAGGATTGAAATGTTGGCGAGGATCGTGGTGTCAGGGTTAATTTTTGGACCAGAGAAAAGTACACGGACAAGTTCGTCTGCTAGACCAAATTCAAACAGACCACATCACTCGAAGACACCATCCATCACTCTTAGTCAACTCAATTCACGACAGACCTTATATAATATACCGTTCCTTCGCCATACCTTCAACCGCACCGATTTGCTCGCTGTTTGTAGTTATTGGATTGATTTGGCACTCACAATTGCTGGTGTACAACATTTTCTGCTTTTCAGAGCTTTATCTACATTAAGGTATCTCGAGTTGGACTCATGTAACTTTTTCTTTTTCCAATGATTAAGTGGAAATGTTGAGAAATTTTTGTTGTCATACTTTTCAGGGGTGTTCGTTTGTTATCTATAACGAGTGGAACGTATACGATTTTACAGTCTTTGAAAAAAAGTCTACCGTTACTGTTCAACGTATCTTTCTTTCTTTGCTTTTGTTTTGTCATCTTCAGTATTTTTGGTGTACATAGTTTCGAGGGATCCTATTCAAGAAG